GCCTTTTTAAATGGGCAACTTCAATCAGTAACAATAAGGTTTGTTCAAATGGGTTTGGCAATCCATATAAACAGCCTTGGAAATTAATGTGAAGTTAGATTTTCTCTCCTCACTCCAGGAGTTTATATAGAATCTAAAACACTTTCTAAAGTCAGCTTAAAACTTGGTACCCTGGGGGCAACCAGGTGACACAGTGGATAAAGCACTGGCCCTGGATTCAGGAGGACCTGATTTTCAAATCAGGCCTCAGACACATAACACTGACGAGCTGTATAACCATGAGCAAGTCACTTAACCCCACTGCCTAGCTAAAAAAAGAAAAGAAAAAGAAAAGAAAAAAGAAAAAAAAGAAAGAAAGAAAATTAGCACCTCCTTCCCTAATTCAAAGGAGCTGTAGTAGATTGACCAAAATAATGAAATCATGGGATCATGGAATCAGAGAATTGAAAGCGATGTTAAGGGTCATCTAGCAAAACACTTTTAGAGATGAGCTAAGGCCCAGAGAGGCAAAGTAATTTGCCCAGGATCACAAAGTAAAGAGCAGAAATGAGATTTGAATCCAAGGCCTCTACTACCAGATCCAACATTCTTTCCACAATAACATTCTCAATGATTTCCTATACCCCAGTCACATCTGGTCCCAAAGGATCCAGATATTTTAGGTTGTATTTAATTTACTGTATCATCCAATAAGTGATTGGATAATTACAAGCCAAGCTTCCTTGAGGCACACAAGTAGTTTCTAAATCAGGGCTTGTGGAATAAGGTACAGAGTTGCTCTTAATTTTTTTTTTAGAAAGCTTTAATTTTATTCAACTGTGAAACAGATGAAAATCTGTTCAGAATACTCACCAAGGCCCCTCCCAATATTTCCTTCTGAGTTTTTTTCTCTTAATTTCCTCTTCCTCCCCCCCAAAAATATTTTTGTTCTAAAAATGATTGGGAAAAGGAGAGAAAGGTGGAAATATGGAAGGTTAGGGGGTAAGGCAGGAGGCTAAAGGTGGTAGAAAAAAAAAAAAGAAAAGAAAAGAACAAGAAATCCCATTTCCTTTCCCCTCCATAAACAAAAACCAATCTATTTAGGTTCCAAATCTATTCAAACCCCTGCCTAGTCTAATGAGTAAGCTGTCAACCAAGATCCAAATTAAATACTTGCTGATTGATTAATCTTCCATTTTAACTTTTATTTTAAAAAGAACATAATAAAATGTTTAAGCAAAGACATAAAAATGATTTATCTGCTAGAGAGTTAGCAGAACCAGAAAGTAAATCTTTCCTTATGGCTTTTCTGTGTATTAGCAAAAGCCAAGTATTTTATATTTCACCATTAGAAAGCCAAAACTTCCCTTAAAGTTGTGCATTTGAGAGAAGAAAACAAACTTGAAGATTTGACTTTAATACTGAATTTTCTCTTGATTTTTGGGGTCACACAACATTAATATCATGAAGACCCGTATGTTTTCTTTTGGTAGGAATTATTATCCTCTGTAACACCTGGAGTACTCTCCATATACCAATGGGTGGCTCACTTTCAAATTATGAATCACTTTATGCAATAAATATTTATTAGCATAGACCAGAAGACAGAGGAAATTTTTATTTGTATAGTAAATATTTTAATGTTTAATCAACTGCTAATATTCTAAGTAATGGGAAGGAAATTTCATCCTGTAAAGTTTTCAAAGTATGGATGCTAGACTCTATTAACTCAAAGTCAACAATGACAAATTAAGGTAACTAAGTATACCCTATAGAATTACAACAGTATTGCAGTTAGCAACATTTTTCATCCCCAGAACAACTTGAGGAGAGTTTAAAGCTCATTGCTTATCTGAATTACTAACAGTTCACTGACTTGAGAGGGAGGAATCTGAAGTAAAATGACTGTGAACTCAATACTGGGTCCCTCCCCCACACCTACACACGTTACAATATAAGTTGTATATAGCATCCAGACTGATGATAATATAGCCAAATGTATCAGTAGTCAGTGTAGAGATATTAATACTTTACTTGGGATCATTTAGTAAAAATTCAATATTTTCAATCACTATTCCTCAGTCTCATAATCTCACTGATGATGCAAGCTAGACCCTAACCAACACTGAAATTTATAATTTCAAGTAATTTACAATTTATCAACATATAATTTATAATCATAATTGCTTTATTCTCTTTAAATTTCATATTTAAAATATTGCCAAATATTTATTGCCATAATCATCTAAAATGACCAAATGGTATCCTGATTCTTCTTGCATGCTATTTTTGCACTGACGTTAGAATTACTCAGGAATTTAGGAAAGCTTTTAATAGATCAAATGATTTTTTTAAAAATCTGTTCCTAGGGGCAGCTAGATGGTATAGTGGATAGAGCACCGGCCCTTGATTCAGGAGGGCCTGAGTTCAAATCTGGCCTCAGATACATAACACTTACTAGCTGTGTGACCCTGGGCAAGTCACTTAACCCTATTGCCTAGCCAAAAAAAAAAATCTGTTCCTAGTTAATTACTAACTTTTCATTGTAGTTTGGTGGAAAGAGCACAGAACTTGAGTTTGAGTACCTGCCCTCAAATCCTAACTATGCTACTTTCTATCTACATGGCATTTGACAAGTCACCTCTAAGGATTTCAGTTTCTTCATTTATAAAATGAGGGGGTTGTAAGTGATTATTTTAAAGGTTCCTTCCCACTTCAACATTCAATGATTATACATAAAACCAAGGTACTCACTGTTCAGGGAAATATATCTCTGTCGAAAAAGTCATAGCACTCAAATAACACTTGCTTTTGTTTCTTTGTTTCCCTAGTGGAGCTAACTGGTATAAATCATCTGGGTTAAGAAAATAGTACTGGCTCTGGAGTCAGAGGACCTGAGTTCAAATCTCTCTTTTGATGCTTTCTATTTATGTGACCTTGGACAAGTCACTTAACTTCCTTAGGCCTCATTTCCTCATTTGTAAAATGTAATTAGACTGTATGATTTATTAGGTACCTTCTAGCACTAGAATCATGATTCTACGATAAACACTTTCACATGGACTTTAATAAGGTTAACAGCCTTTGGACTTGGAGTGAGAGGAAAAAAAATCTTTATATAGAATGTTCAGTGGTTCCATGTTGCCTATGGGCAAACTCCTAATCCCAGCCTGCATAAACATGAAATAAAGTTTTAACCAATGACACTTGCTATTGTAATTTTCACTGCCTAAGATCATCTTTCCTCTCACTGTTCTCCTATTTCTAGGCTTCAACTCTCAAAATGCTACCTTTGAAGCCCAGCTCAAATGCCACTTTCAACCTACTTTTCCAGCATTATTTCATATTACTCTTCATCATGACCTCTCTGTTTCAACCCAACTGGACTATTAGCAGTTCCTGAAAGCATTCACAAAGCCCTACCCCTCTGCCCAATCTAACTCATCCCTGGCTCTCAAAAGAATTAAAAGTTGAGCTGGATTGAATTAGAATTCAAAAGGGAGTAAATGTAAAGTATCATCTTCAGTTCAAAAAATCAATGTCACAAATACAAAATAGTTACATTACAATTCTTATGAAAATGTTCTAGGGGTTTTAGTGAACTATAGACTTAAGAATCAACAGTGTGATATGACAGCCTACAAAACTAATATGCTTTTCGATGACCTTGCAGAACTGTTGTAGTCTAACCTGATCGAACCCCATCTGGAGTACTGTGTTCAGTTCTAGAGACCACATTTAGGAAAGATAAGCTATGGAGCATCCAGAGCTTGGTAACTAGGATTGTGAAGGTCCTTAATATAAAACTTCCTGGATCAGTTAAAAGAATTGAGGGAGGTTAATTCAGAGAACAGAATATCTAATGGGAAATGATAGCTATCCCCAATATTTGATGACTTATCATAAAGAAATGCTGCTTGGCTCTGGAGGACAGGAAGTTAAAAAGATGCAAATTTAGATTTCATATAAGAAAGAATTTCCTTACAATTAGAGCTAAGTAGAAGCTACATGGGGCATCTTAATATTCTCTCCTCACCAGATGACTTCCAGAAAAGGCTAGGTGACTATTTGTTGACTATATTATAGTGGTCATTCTTGCTCAGATATGGGCTAAGCAATGTGATTTCTGAAGTACCTCTTGACAATGAGATTTTATATTTCTTCCATAATAACCTTTCTGATCATCCTATGTGCAAGTATTCTCTCCCTACTCTCAATTCTTAAAATACTCAATTTGCAATGCTCTTATCAAGGCTTTTTTTTCTACTAGTAAATTATAAAGCCCTTGAAAGCAAGGAAACTAACTGTCTTAGCCAACTTCATGTCTTGCTAGAATCTAGCAAAGTGCATTGCACATCTCAAGTGCTCAATAAATATTTGGTGAATACATTAATGATGGAGCCTAGAAGACTCCTAAAACCATAGAAGAGAATCAAATATGCTAAAAAGAAACCACCAAACTAACTGAAAAACTGAAAAGAGCAAGTGCTTATGTTTCCCTTCATATCTGACCAGTGTGGAACACACCTACGTATTATGTTCTAGTGGGAAGACAACAGGTGAACCTTCTCATAAAACACCCAAAGTGTTTAGGTATAGGAATATGTGTCCTCATTCAATCTCAGGCAGAGAGTAGCTCCAAACTCTTTACCTTAATTGTTTAGAACTGAGATACAGTGGCACTCTTCTTCTTGTTTTTTTTAAATTCCCTAGTCTCTCACCCACATAGACTAAGAGATCCTGGGTGCTATGAAAGAAAGAAAAGACAACTAGGGAGAAGTGAGGTGGGAGAGGGCATGAAAGGGTGGAGGTGGGATTTATATCATAATTTTCATAGAGAGACAGAAAGTGAAGAGACAGAGACTGATCAAGAGACAGTGACTGGGACAGAGACAGAGACAGATGTATATTTGCATAAGAAGCATACCTATTGAGATCCCCAAAGACAGACAGACAGGCAGACGAAGAGAGTGACAGACAGGAGGGACAGGACACGCTTGCGTGTTTGAAATCATTCATACCCCCAAATCCAGGACGAAGTCTGTTGTCATAACCATCGAGTAAACTGTCCAGGATGTGGGTGAAATTCTCTGGACGCAATTTCTCCTCCTTTATGATATCTCCTGGGGGTTCGTTTAAACTGCACCACAAAATCAACAACAAAAAAAAAAACACAACAGAAATGTATGAAAGACAGAAAATAATAAATGAAAGATATAGGAAATAATGAATTGATTTTCAAGGGTCAAAGCCCTTCACATGAAGCATCATTGGAAGAGGCTGGGGTGGGGGGGAAGGGAGTAGGGAGGAGGTAAACTGATTGAGAGAGGAGGGATGGAGAGAAAAAGGAATGGTCAAACAAGGAGCACTCCCTCTCCTTTCCTCTCCTCCTACCCACCACACATGCACACACATGTACACAGACTCTTTTCTCCCTATCCCCTTCCTTCTCTTCCCTTTACCAGGTCCCAAGAAAGCCTCAGTTCAGCAACAGTCCAAAGCCCTGAGTGGGTGACCTGGGAACTACCCGGGGCACAGGAGGGGGCTGGCTAGCTGGTCACTCGGGCCACCCTACACCCCACGCCCCCAAGGCCTCTGGGGAGTACTCACCAAGCCGCCAGGCACAGGAAGTGCAAGAGGGTAAAACTGACCCCGGAGGACATCGTGGTTCCTGGCTCCTTCTTGGTAGAAACCATCTTTGCAACATGCCATACTTTAAGCCTGTTCACGTTTATCGTCTCGCAAATGCCTAGTCCAGGGTGCGGAGAGATCACACAGCGGTTGGCAACCGCGCGGGCACACACGCACACTCGCGCTCACACTCACACTCTGACACACTCACCCAGCGCGCTCATCACAGGATGAGCAAGTGTGTGTGTGTGCTCTGGGGGGGGGGGGGGGGGAGGGGAAGGCAGGATTTGATTTTAATCGCTAGCCTTTTCTAGGAAAAGCTGAAATGCAGAGAGGTAGGTGCCCACCTCGGCACCCCTCCCACTCCTTCTCCCTACAGTACAGGCTGCGCAAGTTTGTCTGAACCTTCAACTCTGGGGAGGAAAAAGAGGCACATTCTCCACCCCCACCCCCTATTCCAAGCTCCTTCTTTAATCCCCTCCACCCCCACCCCACCCCCACACACACCTCCATTAATCCTCTTCCCTCAAAGGATGGATTTTGATTTTGCCAATAAAATGCGGGTGTTTGACGACTCCTCTTTCTCAGGGCAAGGAAAGGGGTGCGGGGGGCAGGGTCCTTCTACTCCCCCCCCCCGCTTCATCCCCAAAGAACCAAATCTACTGAGAGGGTTTAGGGGCAGAAACTACAGATCTACCGCCTTCAAGAATTTGGGGAGAGGGGCGAGTCAGCTCGTGGTAAAGGGGTTAAATTCCACGGAACGGACCCTAACCTATGACTGATACGGTGACTAGAAACCAGGCTCGAGCTTCACTATTCATGTTGAAGACAACTGCTTTAATAAAACTTAATTCCTTTACTAGTACTTCTTCCCCTCCCCACCAATATTTCCTTGCTTCCTTCCATCCTTTGTCCCTCCCCCACTTTAACCACCCCACTCCAACCCCCAGGACTGGGGGCCTCTCGAGGGAGATGAAAGGGGACGCCTACTGAAAATTATTTTGACTTCTTTGTAACCCTCTGCCAGAATGACGCACACTTGCTTTCAGACCTCCCCTTCAGTTTTATTCTCTAAAAAAGAAAAAAAAAAACAAAAAACAAAAAGCGAAGGTTCTTTGGCTGGATTCTAACTGCTCTCGAAAGTTTAAAAATAAAGTGGAAATAAAACGAATACCTGCTCTGCTAGTATGGTAGTTCTATTTGTTCTCTAATTTAAAACCAGGTGGGGAAAAATGTGGAGCTGAAATGAACAGGTCATAGACAAACCTTGATGGTTTAAATGGCCCTGTAGCTGCTGTGCTAAATATAAAGAGTGCATCACCACCCAAATCTATATAAAATAGTTAATTGTTCTGATTTGCTAAACACCAGAAACTGAAAGAAAAAGAGAGGAGATGGGGAGAGGAAGTGTGGCTTACTCGTTTGGCTATGCATGTGTTAGTTTTCCTAAGGTGAAGCCTGATTTGATGACCCAAATAATTTTCATTATGCAAGGTCTTTGGGATCATGCCCCAATTAGTGTGCCCTGTTTAAGGGGCTTTTGTAGGTAGATGTAGAAACATACTCAATTAGAGCCTGGTCTTTCATCACTTTGGAGAGGAGAGCATACAGTGCAAACAATCCATCCCTACCCCACTTCACCCCACCTTCAGATTTTACTAGAAGTCGTATATTTTATAGATTCTAGCACACAATAGGCAATCCATAAATGTTTGTTTAATAGAAGTGATGATTTTTAATGTGGAAATTCAAACCCAGTCTAATGAATAAGAATTCAAGTACTAGCTTAGTTGCCAGACTGTCTTGAAAAGAATTGTATATTGGTTAGTTTCTTCAGAGTCTTCCAGGGCTGAAATGTTCAGAACTGCCATCTGCTTGAAACCTGATTATATTTTACTTAATTTCTCTAAATATTATTCAATATTTTTTTATAACAAGCCAAATGTCAGTGTATTGTTTGCTAAGCCCCCTGTATCTGGAAAGCTATCTGAAAAATAAGCTAGAAAAATTTTTAAAAAATGTCTTTGAGGGCAAGAGCTAGTTTTTTTTTTTTTTACAGTTAAATCAATCTATCAGATGTCACTACTAAATGAAACCTCTTAAGAAGCCATTTCCATTCTTTCACTTAAATTCTTCTATATTCCTTTTGTTCTTTTGAGGCTTTATCACAAAGTACTGAATTTAAGAGTTGGAAGGGACCTTAGCAACAATCTCAATCAACTCATATGCAAAAGGAATCCTCAAATCTAACATACCTGACCAATGGCTGCCCAGCCTTTTTTGAAGGACTCCAAGGAGAGTTCCACTTCCTCTCTAAGCAACTCATTCCATTTTAAGAGGGTTCTAATTGTTAGCAAGGTGTTTGCTTGTTTGTTTGTTTTCCCTAAAGTCAAGCCTAAACTGGCTTCTTTGCAATTTCCACTAATTGCTGCAGGTTCTGCTCTCTAGGGCCAAATCAGAACAAACAAAAGGTCTCCTTCACATGAAAGACACTCACATACTTGAAAAAGTCATGTTCTGCATTTGTCTTCTCCAGGCCATACATGCTCAATTCCTTCAATCAATACTCATTTGATTAAAGGCCATTCATTATCCTGGTTGCCTCTGGAATCAAGGTCCTTCTTAAATCATGGTGCCAAGAATTGAACACGATACTCCAGATAACATCTGTCAGGGGACACTATCTCTTCCCTATTCCTGGAAGCTACTTTCATTCTTAATGCAGTCCAATATCTAATCAGCTTTTTTTCTTTTTTAGCTTCCACATCACAATACAGACATATTGAGTTTACACTCCAATAAAACCTCCATTCTGGGGATGTTTTTTGATTTGTGGGGGTTTTTTGTTGTTTTCCTTTGGGTTTGGTTTTTTTTTGAGGGGGGGTGTTTTGTTTTTTTGTTTTGTTTTATTTTTGGTTTCCAACTATGCATCTCCCATTTTATGTGTGGGGAGCTGATTTTTTGACCCAGGTAGAAGATTTTACATTTATCCCTGCTGAATTCCATCTCGTTGGATTTAACCTAATGCTCTAGATTACCAAAATCCTTTTTGATTCTTACCATGTCATCCTATATCTCACAATTTTTATCATCTATCAACTTATTTTTCCAAGTCATTGATAAAAATGGCAAACAGCACAGAGGCTAGAACAAACCCCTTGGGTATTCCACTGGAAGTTTCTTGCTACATTGACATAGAACCATTAACAACTTTAAGTCCAACTATCAAACCAGTTCTGAATCATTTAATTATATTACCATCCAATCCATATTTCTCTATCTTTTCCTTAAGAATACCATGAGATATTTTACCAGAAGCTTTGCTAAAAATCTGGGTAAATTATATTCACAGAATAAATGTTATTTACTAGTGAATAACTAGTGAAGATACAGTGAAAATGTGTTTGCAGTAACAATGAAAGTGATTTTTAAAAAAAGAAGAAAAGAGAAATACTACATGGATAATCAAGATGATATTGACTCATTCTAGCAAGTTATTTTTATAAGTATTTATAGGGTCACGCTCATCCATCCACACTTTCCCTCCACAAACATCATGAATTTCTGAGCTGACTACATAAGGTTTGAGATAAGATATAGATATTGTATCCTTAAAACTAAGCCATCACTGAATTCCGGTGCGTTGGGGCAAATTCAGTTAAGTTAGTAATTATAGCCCAGAGGACCATTTTCCTTCTTTCCCACAATTCAAGTGAAGCCAAAAAAGAAAGATTCAGAGAAATAGACCCCTCCCCTTTCAGTGAATTAAGGCCCTGGAAGGGCCCCTGAGTAATAATAGAAAGTGGGTGAGAGACTGCTTTTCAGTCTGCTGCTCAGCCCTGGCGGTGCCCCCCTGTACTTAAGACTATACTTGATTTGTAATAACAAATTCCAATGAATTCCATCCATCCTTGCTTTTCATCTAGGGACTGACCCCCCACGAATTGTTGTACCTGCAATTCCCTTCCTCTCTCCTCCTCCTCTCTTACGTAGAGGACAACCTCAGAACAGAAGCAACCTCTACCCCCTCCCATGTTCACATGTTGAGTAAAAGCTCCAGTCATCTCACCTTGGCTACAGCACTGCCTAGTAACTGACTGAAACTAAGCAGTCTTTTGAACTAAAGTACATGATTTGGGCCTAATTACTACCATACTCTAACTAATGAAGATAATCAATCCAAAAAAATTTTTAATATGCATAATAGGAAAGATACAGGGTCATTAACACAATTCTGTATCTCTCAATTCACTCATTCAGTATCTGATTGACTTTGTTTCTCTCTTCACTGGAATAGATTGTAACCCCTCCATACCTTCTTAATCTGTGTAACTCTTGACCTGTTAATTCTCCATACAAGAATAACCCAAAGGCTCTACTTCCCTGGAAGTTTAAAATTCTATGGGTAACACATCAATCATTCAGGCTGTTGATCAGTTATCCTCCACTCTTGCTACATAACTAATCTACCCCTTCTGTCTAATCCTCCTTCTCCTAGATGTACTGTCTAGCATTCCTAGGGAGGGAAGGGAGCATGTATTTATTAAATGCATCATGTCCCAGGCACCGGGCTAAGCACTTCGAAATTATTGTATCATTGGATCCTCAAAACAACCCTGGGAGGTAGGTGCTATTATTGTTCCCATTCTACAGATGAAGAAACTGAGGGGGCTTAGATTCTTAAAATCTAGCCAATAACTTACTAACATTCAGACTCCTTAAGAATCTGCCCAATATGACGGATGTTCTAATAAACCTTGTCTTTGACTGAAAGGAGGCTTGGGTCAAATTCTTTCAGGCAGGACCCGCGTGTTGTGATTTTGGGATCCCAGGACTCCTGAACCCCTAAACCACATCATTTTGGGGTCCCATGTGGAGAAACTGCCTAACCCCAAGTTCTTCTCCAGCCAAGACTGGAAGGTATGTAAGCCTCATCCCCCCCACCTCCTTTCTTGCTCTGCAGTTAGGGTTGCTCTCCAAGCACCAAGGCTTGGAGGTGCTTTTAGGGCAGGCAGTTACAAGGCTGTCTCGAACTCAGCCTGACACTCTCAGGCTCTCGGTCCACTGGGTCGGTTCAGGGACCTGGGTACACCTTCTGCAGCATAGAGGACAAGGACGGATGCCCTATTTGGAAGTGTATGAATTCCCTCGCTAGGGAATTGGGGAAAACTGCAGGCCTTTTTTGGTTCCCTGAGGCTTACTTACACCCTTTCCTCTGCACCTCTGAATCCTCCTTCATGGAGGTTACAGGGAAAGTTAGAACAGCTAAAAATATCTTGGCATATTCTGGAGGTTATGTGATTGATTGAAGGAGTTTTGAAACACTTGTACAACCTGGTCACTCCTTAAGTCAAGAGAGTATCTGTTAATCCCTCTCATAGGAAAGGAGAGTTTCACCCTTTACCCCTCACCTTTGATTTCGCCCTCCCCCACCTGGGAAAGGAAGGGGGGGGGGAAGGGCAGCAGCTATGGTGTGGGCCCTCTGGCAATGGCCTGGGGCTCTAGGGCAACCTTTGCCTAGAAGCATCACCCAGGTTCAGCACATCCTGCTCAACGTAATGAAGCTAGTCTCCAAACTTGGGTAAGCACACTCTTGT